ATTGGCTATTCATCAACGAGTGATAAAGGGTGATGAGCGACGTTGATAAAGGGGTTTGGAATTAAGATGTTCAAAATTTTGAGTTTTTTAAAAATATATTAATAATTTTAAGTATTTTAAAAAAATAATAATAATTTTATTTTTTTATTTTAAATAAATCTTTTAAAATTTTATAAACGCGACACGTATGATATATCAATTATTTTTAACAATCGTGATGGACGAGGTACCTAAATGCTAACGTTGGTAATGTTAATCATGTAAATTGACCGGGGGGGGGGAATTAGACACCTAAATGAGAAAATAGTTAAACCTTAAATTTTTTTATATTAAACCTAAATTTAATAATAAAAAAATTATGAATAAAAAATTAAAATATAATACCTTATAAATAAATTTGAAGTGTGTGTTTGGTTGGTCATTCTTACATTATGTTGCAAAACATATTGAGATTGATTGTTATTTCATTCTTAAAAAGATTCAATAAAGTTGATTTATTATCGGCTATGTGAAAATTGGAGAAAAGCTAGGAAATATTTTCATAAAGGCTATTGAAAAGGTGCAAATTAATCATCTATGTAACAAATTATACATGACTAATATTTAAGTTCCAACCGAGAGTGTTACATATTTGCAAATTAAATCTGAAGATTAATATATATTGTATTTGACATAGGATATTACATAATTAATGTGGGATATTATTATTTTTTGAATAGTTAACGTGGGATATTGGTTTACATATTAATATTACATAGTTAATGTGGGACCTTTATATATTCAAGTTCTTTGAAACCGTTTTCTGCTGACCGGATCTTTTGTTAATTACTATTGGTTAATTGGAACATAATGTATTTTGCAGAGTGCAAAGACAAATTTTGTTAGGCCTATAGGCTGTTATGCAGTTGAGGAGGTTGAGTGCAGTTAAGGTAGTTAAGGGCTGTTGAGAGTTAGTTACGTGTGTATGTGTGAAGTGAGTGAGCTATGTTGTAAAAGCTATACAAGCATGGCCTGGTGCCTTTATAGATAAGCAAGAAATACAATTCATATTGTTAATATAGATTTCTTTACAAATTTGAATGTGGAAGAATCTGATGATAAGGCGGAGGTATTATTTTCTCTTCTCTGCAACTTTTATTTTAAGTTCTTCAGGTCGTGTAATCATGTGAATATTATAAATTTGCAACTTGAAATGATGTCTTGGTTTTCGGTTACAGCCAACGACACTCAAAATTAATGAGCAGGACCCTGCAGCAAGTGCTTCGTAAAGGGAATAAAATATTCTTGAACTCAAGTGACCATTGTTATGGATTTGTGTAAATCCATCTGATCTCTAAACATACGGGATCGTTATCGTTCTTGTCTGTCTTCTTGTCCAACATTATCTCTAATATCATTACCGTTATCGTGTATTGATCAAACGAAATGATTCATCAATGCGACTCAAATTTACCTTGATAAATAACTTGTGAAGAATAACGATTGTGAAGGTGAAAATTTAAAATGTCATTGGTGAATATGGTGCTATTAGTTGAACTAGTTATGATGGTACCGATAGAGGAGTATCACTTGTCAACAATGATGCATATGCAATAAAATCTGTGTTTGATACTATTATATATAATAACCTTGTTTCGGGCTGAGGATAGGAGAAACAATATAACGAATATTGCATCTATAAATGATGGCATGATGGTGTCGGTTGTGATGGTTTGGACAGTGTTGACGATGACGAGCCAAAAGGATTTGCTCTTTCCCAATTAGTTGTGAGACAATGATACTACATCCATAAATGCTTTTGTCTATATTGATTAATATAGTTGATTCATTGTTCATCGAACAATAGATACAACTTCTCGTAATACATGAACAATACCGCACAATCCATATGTGAGATAAGCATAAATAATGATAAACATATGTGAGATAAGCTATATGAGAAAGAATAATCTGCTTAGATGAACTATGATATATGAATTACATGGTAAAGATCTATGAAGTCATAGGTAAAAGTTACAGGAGTAATATGAAATTGAATTAAGGGAATATAGGAATTAGTATATAAATGAAGTTATATAAGTGATATATGTTGGTATGCTACAATATATGTTACATGATCTATGGGAGCATAAGAGAACAAAACATGAGCTAAGTGATATAGATATAAATGATTATGTGAACATTTAATATAAATTAGGGAATGATGATATTGGTGTTTATATGGCTATAAGAAGATATAAGAACAATATATAAGCTATGTAATATGAACTGTATGATTTAAATGCTATGTAGTATTATCTATGTGAATATAAGATAATAAAATATAAAACATATGTTATGAGATGAGTGATATGTGGTTATGTGAGACTATACGAGAATATGTGACATAAGCTACGCGATTACATGTGTTTATATGTTAAGTGAAATAAGTGACATAAATTATTATAAATGGTAATGCCCATGTTATGTGTCATGAGAGCTAGATGTATAGTTGGCAAGCCAAGAGTCGAGGGTCTACGCGATCCTTCGGGACATATATATATCCTTTGGAACATTTATGAGGTCCTTTGGGACACATGATTGATCCTTATGGACATTTTATATGGCACTCCGGTGCATTTCTATGCGGCACTTCGGTGAAATTCTACGTGGCACTTCGGTGCATTTATACGAGCTGTGGTGACAGCAATGTGCACAACCTCTATGTATTCGCATACCTTCAGTTCTCACATGTGTTCATGGGCTAAACAAAGATAACAATAAATACTCTATATGTCATGTATATGCTTTTGGTAATATGAAGTAAAGTATAGAAGTTGATATGATAATATGTTTGTTTTCTTGAAAAGTGATATGTGTGATCGATGATGTGTGCAAATAATTAAGTATGAGATAATCTAATAAGAGGAATTACTGATAATACTAAGAATGAATATGACGATATATGTGCATGTGTGTATTTGTTATATGAATGGATATATGCTTGTATATGATATGATAGTATTAATTATTCATGCATTGTTATTTTGGAATTTACATTATATGTTTTATATGCCTCACTAAGTCATAGACTTGGCGTGTGAGTGTTTCACACGTAGGTTTCAGAAAGCGAGAAGAGAAGCGAAGAGTAGCAAGACAGGTCAGATTCTCCTTTTCACAGATCAGATCAGAATTGTATTTGAGTATATGTATTTGGTTATATAGAATGTAGTTGGCATATAGTCTAAAAGATTTAATTTGTATAAGCTCTGATATGTTTTGTAAAACCAATTGATTTTAGATAAATGAAAAGCAATCATTTTCTTGAATTATAAATTTTAAAGTTTAGTCATTTTGTAAAGAAAAATGTTTGAAAAGTCAATGTGACATCTCGGACTCAGATCCGTGTCGGATACGAGTTTGGGGTGTTACATTTTTAGATGAAATTGAGGTGATTGTCAGATAATATCAGTTTAAAAGATTCTAAGTTATTTTATAATGAACGCTCAAACATATTTACAAACACTGGTAGTCAAACCTGGAACCTTTAGAAACAACAATATTTTTTAACCGCTGAAAGTAATTTGATACACGTATCAGATTTTATATTAACTATCATATCATTTATTATGTTCGTACTTTTGTACATAAATTATGATGTTATCTACCACATTACTTTACAAAACGTTAAAAATATTGATATAAAAGCCCCAATTAATCATAATTCATAACTTAAACTATATAACTAAATCAAGGGTTTATTTGATTTATTTTTATAACTTTCGGAGCAACTTTTTACTATTTAAATTTACCATGAAAGTGAACGTTAAAAAAATTGAATAGATATTATCGTATAATCACATTAATAAAAAAAACAATTGAAAAAAATTGTGTAGCATGCAACGAGGACCACATGAAAAAGCCATTTTAGTTGGCTATTGCTCCGCCCCCTGATGATGCAATAACGGAGAAAACACAAGCTTGGAAATTAGTCCATAGTTTTCGGATTGTGTCCTAAACAAAATTAGTGGTCGGTTTGGTAATTTTAATTTTATATATTAAAAATCAAACAAATCGATTATATTATTAAAATCGAGTTTATTTAATGGTTAAATCAAATTGATAATTAGTGGGAACTTAGAACAACAAGATTGATTTAAAGCCACCAATTTCTACCACCTAAAATCAGGATTTGAGGCCAAGAATTATTCATGTTTAATTTAATATATGTAACCCACTTGAATTGAAATTCCGTCGGCTAAATTTATAAATCCATAGAAAATCAAGATTAAGATATTAATCAACTTGTTAAATTCTCACTAAATTCATTAGTGGAGCATTGACTTCCATTTGTTCTCAAAATGTCAAAATGGAGCTGTGAATGTAATCTGATTAGGATGCCAAAGTTGTAGGGATACTTCCTCGAAATATTAATTAAATATTAACAAGTACGATGCTGATGCTTTCCCCCCCCCCCCAAATTTAACATGAGACAATATGTATGTATAAATTATCCACACACAAAAATACGTATGTATATGTAGGCATGGATCAAAATAGAATTTTATAATTTTACAGCTCTTAAACTTCTAATATAAATATCGAGAAATTCATATTACCTTGTACAAAATATTGTATCCATCCTTATATACAAACCCTTTCTTTTTAAGTTGATTATTTTCGATTGGTTATATGTGGATTCATGCAAATTTTTGTATTTATTTTGATCCAGAAATATTTATAAATACTTATCGTAAATAATATTTTTATGAGATAAAAAGACAAGGTTGCTGAGTTAAAATAAACTATGTTTTATAGATTAGAAGTCATTAAGCTTTAGATCGATCCAAATGTAAAAGGATGGAGATTAAGCAGATAATTTAACAAAATTTCTTAGAAGTTTTGAAGTTCAAAATGGATAAAAAAAATAACCAATGTCTTCAAGAGTTGTTTTGTTTCGTTAAAATATATAAAGAAAGTTAGATTTTGATTCTATGGGGAAAATTTGTTGCAGGCTTGAGAAGGTTAATATAAGAAAATTCCATAGCCAGGCAAAGATATTAGGCACAATTGTGACCGTTGGGGGAACAATGCTGCTGATGCATTGATTAATGGACCAATGTTGCAGTTGCCGTGAACCAAATCAAATAGCTTACTTGTACATTCAACTGCATCGACACCCGAGCAAGATCCGATTAAAGGTGCTCTCATGATCACTGTTGGCCGTTTTTGCTGGGCCGGTTTCATCATTTTACAGGTAAGTTCTCTCATTAATCTTCTCCATTAACCAGCCAACTGGTTCGGGTTGATTTTAATTAACAAAAATGTAATGGTTTTTTTTATAGGCAATTACCCTAAAATCATACCCTGCTGAGCTCTCCCTAACAGCGTTAATCTGCTTGGCGGGCACCATTGAAGGAAGCATTGTACCAGTGGCAATGGAAGCTGGCAATGCTGCGGTCTGGTCTGTTCATTTGGATGTTAAACTCTTAGCTGCAGTTTACAGTGTAAGAAATTCTCAATTCGTCTAATGTAACATCATAAAATATTTCCCCGACCATAATAACTTGCGTTTGGTTGCAGGGAGTAGTCTGTTCCGGGTAGATTATTATGTTCAAGGAGTAATAATGTAAACCAGAGGACCTGTTTCTGTCACTGCATTTAATCCTCTAAGCATGGTTATTGTTGCAATTTTGAGCTCCTTTATCCTATCCGAGGTGCAATACTTAGGAAGGTATTATATCAATCCCTCTTCTCCGCTATATTAATTATAAAATTGCTATAGAAAATTTTCTATGAATTAAATTACAATAATGTTATGTTTATTATGGTCGTGGATGTAATGAATGTTATTGTAATTGTTGCAACCTCTTATAGGGTACTTGAGGCAGTTGTAATTGTTGCTGGCCTCTATCTAGTTTTGTGGGGTAAGAGCAAGGATCAACAATCAACGGAAGCAGGAAATTATGTGAAAAAGGTTGACATGAATGAGCATATCACAACTATGGTTTCATATCAAGATTTCGTCGTCCTGGATTTAAACCATAACAAGGTGATAACTAGCGTTGAACCTGTTTGAAACCCCACAACAAACGTCTACTAATTAAGGATGTAGTTTTGTTTCCCCCCTACATGTATTGAGCTAATGTGCACAAATAAGCCGCTTGATGATTATATCATCATTCGGATTCTTCATTCTCTATCCAAAATTTGTGTTTGACCTATATTCATGTTTAAAATATGCATGCAACATTTGTATCTCCAATACCCATATTGGACACATACTCGAACTTAAATATAAAACACCCATATTGAACACATACTCTAACTTGAATATAAAATACCTATATTTTACACATACTCGAACTTGAATATAAAATACCCATATTCGACATGAACACAAAGTACCTATATTCGGGGCAAAAGAATTAAAGCTTACCTGTTGGGGTAGGTACAAGACTAGTACCTGTAACATGATAATTAAAATTCTAAATCTCAGAACTAGTCAAAATATCAAATCTCATTTAGAAATTTTTGGAAAGTCAAGATACATATAGCATTTATCTGCATAAATTATTGAAATCCCAAAACAAGTATATAGTTTAGTACAAAGATACAAGCTGCTGGGCACAGATCTGACCCACCTCACAAGATTTGAAAGGCTGAGTCTTCATCTCAAAGATGACACAACAGCATCATCCTTTCCATAGATACGCTGAAGCTCACGGGTGGCAGCTTGGTATGATGCTGCAAAAAGTAAACAAGGAATTTGAGTCAACAAAACTTACAGAGAGAAAAAAGGACGGGGTCTGAGAGCACCGCATTACTCAAACTCAGGTGTGAATGCTAAATATGAGTATATGTTTCATACAAATATGCTCAATATTTTAAAATCATTCCACGAAATTGAAGACTCCTTAGAGAACCATATCTGAATCCGCAGGTACGTAGAAAAAGATGAAGAGTAGAAGTAATGTCAGTCAACTAAACAGCCACTTTACCTTTCCAGATGCGAAAATTCTTCTGGTTGATTTGAGAACCTGTCACGGTTTGAATTGCATCAAAAAGCAACTCTTGAGGAGTGTTCTTGAGCTCTTGAACAACTGCATAGATGGTCTTTCCATTCTCAAAGTAAATGTGATTATTGGGGTGTTTGGTCTTGCAACTAGCATGGCGCTCAAACTCATACGCATTCAGAGCCTGCACAATAGATTTTGAATTATACAGTAATGATACTCAGCTTTAGTAATCTAGTTCTCTTCCTATAACTTCATAACGAAGAACACATTCAGTTGGTATCTTAAAACATGGCTGAAAAGCAGAGACCAAACAAGTTGCTTACAGTCAAATTGTATTAGAGTCCTAACTATATTTACTTTACTGTTTTAGGAGTCTTTTAAGATTATGAATCCTTATTATCTTTATCCCTGGATAAACTATATCTTCCAGTAAAGTATTTTATTAGGAGTTAATTACTAAGTATTAAATAAGGGACATATGTATACTACTACCGCAGATTAGAAAATAAGAACTTCAGCTTTTATTTTTCTTCCTGTTTTTTCAGTTTCTATTATGTTTTCAGTCACTTACTTTTTCAAACTTGCAGTCGTTGCAACCGCACATATACCCGGTCCCTTGTATATATCCTTTAAGGTTTTTCTGCCAATGAAAAGGTCTCGTAACATAAGTGAAATCGCACCGATGAAAAGTTAAGTATAGGAAATGACTCACCTCCCGTGACCAAGAAACATACTTCACAACCACCCCATCAAGCATACCAGTTGATAACAAACTCTTGACATTGGAAGGGAAATTGTTGGGAGAAACCTTTTTCGATGTCACAGTTTCTTTATGCTTCAGGTTGGTATCAATTGTAAAACTACTTTTTGATGCACTATTTACATTTGAATCAGTACTATTCGACTTGACCAACACTTGCTGGCAAGGAGCTTCTGAAGCTTGTGCTGAATTCTGATTATTCATCAATAAGTCATAGCAACTAATAATACTACCAGAGAGGTTAGCCTCCGGTTCATCATGGAAACCCCCAAAAGATATTGTATTTCTTTCGCACCTGTTGTAGTTTTGATGCATAGATAGAATATTAGACCCTCCTTTGTCTTGTTTAGGAGCCACTGCTGTGATGTTACAGTCCGCCTTATGATAAGATGGACCCATTGGTATGATATTATCGCCTTCCTTATCAAAAGAGGATGCCATCGAAACCACACTCTCATTTGGTTTACTATATTCAGAGGCCATTGAAATGAAATTTTCCTGCCCCTTACCATAAAATGGGCTCAATGAAATTAAGTTGGCATCTCCCTTCTCATATGACTGACCAATCGGAATAAAATTGCCATCTTCCTTGTCAAAAGGCTGACCCATAGATAAAGTACTCTCATTGCCCTTGTAATTGTGGCCCACAGGTATGAAGTCACCAGCTCTCTTGATAAAGGTGTGACCAATTGAAATAAAATTGCCATCTGCGTTACTAAATGTAGGGCCCATTGAGATGGTATTTTCATCCTCACTACCATAAGTTGGGCCCAAAGATATAGCATTATCATTTTTACTGAAAACATTAGACACTGAAAATGTGCTATTAACTCCTCTATAAGGGTGTCCCATTAACACCGGCATGCCACTGTTGGAATCCCTAACTTGATTGACCTTAACTTTCCTTATTCCACCAAAACTGAGAAATGAAGAGGCATCTTCAGTGGTATGGGACATAGACAAACCAGAAGATGAACTAATACTGTACTGATCCTCAAAATCCTTTCTTCCCATACTCATATTCCCAGTATCAGTAGAAGAAATGTTCCTATCAACCATGTTGGCTGTTCGAATGGGCTCAGATCCAAATAGATGGTCACCAAATGGGCCAGAAGCTGACTGGAAACAGGAAGCGTTGGACCAAGGAGAAACACTGGCGTCTGCAATTCTTGAAACCGGACAGCTGTTTAAGGATTCCATAGCTTGCTTCTTGTTGCTGAACAACTCTGGTGCAGCAGCATCCATAAACCATTGATGACCCCGCTTTGCTTCAGATTTTGAAGAATCATCATAACCCATCTCTCCATTAGTTAGGCAAGCACCATCTCTCCGCATCTGTAAACTTTTTTGCTGGAAAGCCTGCCCAAAATCAATAATACAAATAATCAAAGTGGGAATATTTGTTATCGCATGACAAGAGGAACTAACGAGTGAAACAAGAACTCTATGACAACACAAATTAAAACCCAAAGAAATCATGTAATCAGAAAATTATGAGACATAAATCAAGCATAAAATGTCGCTTGCTAAAATCAGTAAGAGAATATATATTTGTGTGTGTGTGGTAAACAAGCTAAAGTCTGATAGATCCATCAGAGGGTTATTCAAGTCAATCTAACAAAGCCTACCATAGAAATCAGATAAGTTTCAGGGTATGAATTAGTTGGTAAACAAACACAGGTCTCCAAGGAAACAATCATCAAAAGTTAAAGCCGAAAGGTTCACCTTTATACTTACATGAACAAAACTGAATTCCAATTGGCGTGCTTGTCCAATCAGGAATAATAAATTTTTCAGTTCCTTTCAGATCCTAGTGAAGCTCAGAAAAAGAATCCTCCGAAACATTTCCCTCTTAGATGTTACCAGTAAGACTTATCAAGATAGGTCATTGTACAGGTATGCTTATAATGAGGTTTCTATAATCATATCATGGTATTTAAAATCTTCAAAGAGTTACCTAAATGACACATGAGCAAACTTGCAAGGGACATTAAATAAACCTGCCTTTAATGGTAATGGCTGTAGCCAATTCAACTTAAGATTCGAAAACTTCCCTTTTATTTCTAACTAGGACCTAATACAGTAAGATATCTTCAATTTGTTAAAAATCTTGATACATTTAGGACATGCGTCAACACTTAAGATCTGGGCCAAAACGAGAAGTATTACGGCGTTAAAGTTACAACATACATAGCATAAATTTCCTTACAATAAGTTTGAAGAGACTATATATACATTAATTCTATTGGGAATTTTATTGACATAGAGACAACTTTATTTATTCATATAGTTTCTGGCGGGATCAAGTTTTTTTGTCTTTGGATCAGAATTATGAAATCCAACGAGTAGGATAGAATAAGACTAGTAATAGAAAACTAAATAATATAAATAAACAACCTAGCAAGTTCCTCATTACAGTAATCCTGAACATTCAATAGTTACTCCTTTTTCATTTCATCTTAAAATGTAATCTAAATAAGGCAGCAAGGGGATACAAGTACAAGAATAATCCAGATCAGAATAGGAGCCCAGAGGGAAAGCAGCTTCGCTCATTCATGGGAATTATTAACCGTACAGATTTTGCTGTCTCCTGCTAGAAGCTTGTGTACAATGATGATTATGAAACAATGAAAAGCATCTAAAGAAAATAGGTGTTGATGCTATGACGGTTTTGATTCTACATATCATGAATATAAGCACCCACTTCACAGAATTGAAATGAGAACCATCTGAATTGAAAAGGATGTGCAAACCCACTAAATGTCCACGCATTTATATAATTGTATATGTACATTGTTATTAAGATAAATAAAAAGCTACAGTTGTTTGGTCAAGTAAAACAGAGAAGGAAATCTTATTTACAAAAGGTGTTCCCTTAAAGATTTTCTATGAAATTCTAACAAGATGTACACTATGAAAAGGGCAACTCAACCAGTTAGACAATACACATGATGGACAAACATACTGCAGCCCAATTCGGTAATTTATGCTTTTCATGGAGTCAAAAGAAAAACAAAGTTCTTTTCACAATGAAATTTTAGAAAGAGTGAGCCAAAAGATTCAGTTGACATAACAAAGAAATTAATTATTAATATGAATCTCATTCATATGGTTATTAGAGTACTTATTTAGCTTTAAATCGTTCAATATTAGATCTTGTTCTCATCATCTGTATTTGGTAATGTTAAAATTTACAGTAACCACAAAATCTTTTACATAAAATATTCTCAAAAGGAAACGTGTCCTTTCTCTTCTAGAAGGATTCTACCCACCTGATATGGTGGATTGACCCTCAAACCATCAACTAGTGCATAACAAAGGGAAAATACAGAAAAACCAACAGCTGGTAAATGCAAATAGTGTAGATCAGCATATCAGTCCCGGAAATTGCTAATGTTAATGCTCTAAATTGGTTGAATCTAAATATAAATCACCATGTCCGCATATCTGAGGCATGTAACCATCAGCATTCCTCTCATTGAGAATTAAAATTCCTCATGTTCCAACACAATGAAACCTAAATAAATCACCATACCAAGGACATGTTCTTCAAATTTTCATTCACTTTCATCAGGAGCATTCATACATATGACACATGATTGTCACCATAACTTTTATTAAAACCTTTAAATTTGTTGATTCCAACTTAATCAAACTTCACACGGTATGCCTTATTCTCATAACTAAGAAAATAACCGTCATGATTACTTTTGTTAATACATTTAAGCATACGAAAATAACATAAATCAATATATCTGAATATTTGGGCTACACGTGCAGCACAGCAGCGTTTATTACAACACAAAAATTCCTCAAAGCTACTAAATGATGGAACCTAACATTAATCAACATATCCGCATCTCAAATACATGTAATCAACTTATTAGTACTGACTATCCTTCTTAAGACATTTAAATTCCTTAAAGGTGTGAAATTAAGGAACCTATTATTAATCACCATAACTGCAATTCTAAAACATATGATAATCACGATTTCTTTTACTAATACATTTAAATTCCGACCTAATGGAGCCAAATATAAATCACCAGCCATATATCTATAGTAAACAATCATCAGGGTTTCTGTTAAAACATAAAAAATTAAATTTGTCAATCCTCCAACATGATAAGACTTATCAAGAATCACCATAAATGCATATCTAAAGCACAATCTATCTTCATTAGGATTATTTATGCAATCTTCATTAGTCATTATCCAATCTTCATTAGTCATTTATGCATTTAAATTTCTTGCGCACCAAAGTACCATTCAACTAACAACAATTAGACTCAGTAAGAGAATTACAAATTCTCCATGTAGGCACTTTAATTCATTAGAACAATATTCATATCAAACAAGAAGCAGCATTGATCAAAGTACACCAAAACAAACTCGAAAAAAATGAGGGAGGAAATGGAGAAAAATCAAAATCAGTAACAATATAGCACCAAAACTTGAACAAAACATTTGCATGCAATAAAAAGAGCATAGACAAGAGTTGGGATCATACCATTTCTCGCCGAAGACTCAACACATGAGCAACTAAGTTGCTTACTTGCAATCAGACTCTTCTCCGATCAATCAAAAACCAAGCTTCTTTCAATCTCCAAAACACCTTCAGAAGTTGAAAGGGCAAATTAATCAAATCAATATAACTTTAATCACAAATTTCACATGCATTAATCGATTTTTAAAAAGAGAAAAATCAGCATTTTTCTATTTACAGGAATAAGGTTAAAACCCCAGATTTCTTTCGTTTTTCTCTGAATTTTGCATGGAGCTTAAAGAGGCTTTTTGCAAGCAATGGTGAAAATTACAAAAAGCCTAGAAATTACGACAAGTGAGAGATCCAATAACCTAATACCTTTTTTCCGGAGAGATCGCCGGTGAGACTTCCCGGCTACAACTCACCGGAAATAATCAACCAAAAACTTTTTTTCCAAGTTTTTGAAGTGAGAGTTGCAGTAGTAAGGGATACATTGAGAAAGCAACTAAGAGCTTTCTAACCCTTAAATAGGAAGGAGAGGAATTATACGGTGTACCGCGGCATAGTTTTCATTAATAAAATTCTAATCTATATCACACACGTGGCTATAAATACTGAATCGGATCCCTGCTGAGAATTACGTATAAATTCTGGCCGTTAAATTTGATTACCAAAATTCAGATTTGGATTTTTCGGATTTGAATTACGTTAATTTTTCTGTGTATATATCTTAACATTTATAAAAATTTAGAAGATAATTAATAAATTCGGATTTCTAAATTGGATATTCATCTTCATTTAGTTCATTTTATTTTATTTATTTGCATTCAAGAATTTAATGTAATAAACTCATATATTTAATAAATTTATTTTCAATCACCATTATGGAGTTTTTTTATTTTAAAAAAAATACTTTTCAGTTAGTTAAGTATCGTAGTAACTAGTAATGGTGCTTAGCTAAAAATAACTTTTATTTAACTTTAATTATACAATTATAAATATAAATAAATAATCTAAAAATAATATATTTAAAATAACAAAGTATTGAAATGATGTTATCTTTGGTAAATGGCTGTCTAATGGGTCGAAAGACTTCTATCGAGCAAAATATTAATCCTGCCTAAAGTTGATTAAGCTAATATTATAAAAATATAATTAATACGTCATCTTTTGTCAAAATTAATAAAATAATATATCACTTGTATTTTAAAAAAGAAAAATTGAACGCCATCAATATGTACCTATTAACTCAATTATTTTCTTGTGGACTTAAGTACATAGATGATGATTTGTTTTGGTGAATTAAATTATTTTGTTGGCCACTTAAACCAAAAATGATGTGTAAATTATAAGAAAATGAGTGCATTTGAGAGATTTTTTTTTGACATACCATGTTCATCATCTTCACAAAAGTCAAAGTTTATAGAGTCATGATGGTAAAAATATTTAGGACTTGTTTAATATTGTTTCGAAAAATATATTTTATAAGTTTGAGTAATTGTATTTTTAAGATGTATATATTATCAATTTATTAACAAAGATTTGAGCAAATATTATTTTACAATTACTTAAGATTATTAAAAAATATTTTTTAAATTATTTAATAATATTTAGTATTGTTGTTAAAATTATTTTTGACATGAAAAGATATAAAATTTTAAAACTCATAAATAATTTTTTAGTCGTATAATTGTGTCTTAATAAAAAAAATACAATAAAACCATCATAAAATAATAAATGAATATTAAAACTATAAACTGACTTAAAAAATACTTCTTAAACACACAAATTAGCTAGAACTTTCAGAGTTTGTGTTTAGCCCCAACCAAAGGGTCTATTTGAGTAAATTTTTTTACTGAAAGATTTAATTATTACTTTTTAAAAAAGAATAAAGATTTTTAATTACTTGCTGATGTGGAGTATAAGATAAAGTATTCATATCATCAAAATTGATCATGTAGACTACCACGTGTACAAAGGTTCATGACATCATCATTCGTTAGCTACAGTGTCATTAAATTTAATAATCATTATTGATTAATTTTTATGATTAAAATGTTTAATTAGTCATAAAAAAGTCACGAGGACTTAATTGGATTTTTTATAATAGTCTGAGGATTATCTGACTTTTTCCAAATGAAAACAATAAATTTTAGAATATTTTTCCAATAGTTAAGTGTAATATATTGGTTGTTGCTTCTTAGATTAAATAATGTTAAAATATATTTAATGTTATCATATATATATATATAACGTTTTTTTATTAGTCAATATTCAGAGTGATAACAATACAACATATGTTCGAAAGATTTTCAATTATTTGATAATAAATATTCAAATATCATTATAAATGTTATATCACACTCGAAATCTTAAAAGATAATAGCAATATATAAACTACTAAGGTCGTTTAATTAATTAATAATATAAATTTAAACTAGTTCATTCATAAAACTGATCTAAAAACATATTAAATAAATTTGAACTTGAATTCCATTATGTAATATCTTTTAATTATATGGATGAGAAGAAAAGATATGACGAATTTAATTATATTAGAAAATATTTTTAAATTTTTATATCATTTGATTAAGTAAATAAATATTATATTTTCAAGGTTAATAACAGGATTGAAAGTAGGATAATATGAATATTTTTAACCACTCGAACAATTAATGGATATCGAAAACTATTTATTTAAATAATGTGAGGTAATTATAAGGTAATATGTATTCAAAACTATTTATTACTCTCTCCATCCTATTGAATTTTTCTTTTTAAAAAAAAATCACATTTTTTAAACTTTGATCATGCTTATTTTAAATATTTTAAACAATTAAATTTTATAAAATATATATTTAAAAACTTCTTGATTGAAGGTTTTTAAAATATATCTTTTCAAATTTTATCAATAATAAATTTTATATAATAATGAGTCAAAATAAAAAAAATTAATAATGAACAAATTTTATAGGATAGAGGAGGTAATAAACTTCAATGATACTACGTAATATAGGTTAATGATATCTAAATTAAAGATAAGTGTTTGACATCTATTCAATAGACGCAGTTTATAGTTGTTTGAAAAATCAAATTTATTTATTAATTGTGATAAATTTTAATTTTATTTAAAGAGAATGAAAATAAAAAACTTTAAGAAAAAGAAGGAGAATATTTCTGATAAATCTAAAACTTATGATAATAAATATTATTGTAATCAATTTAATAATTATGATGTATTATTAGTACATGGACATATCGGGACATACTTTAGTCAAAGTATTCATGACGATGGGACATGGACATGTCATCTAGCACCTAGTCCTCCGGATGAAATATCCGACAAGTGTAGCTTGGGTTTTCGTGGTAAGTTTTTCGCTTGTAAACTCCCAACGTTCATTAACTCAAAGCCAATTTACTTTTTTTTGAAATTTCGAGAATTATTGAACATAAATATTAAGTTTTCAAAAATGAGTTCCGATAAATATATTTTAAAATATAAATCGGATCCAAATTTGACATTTAAGATTTGATTCGGACATGTTTTTCTATGTTTTAATATAATATATTATATTATTTTTATATAGTATATAATCTATTTCACGTAAAAATAAATTTATAATAATATACAACATTATAATACATATATAAAATTGTCTATAAAACAAAGAGTGTAACCTCTTAGATCCGGCCTGGACATTATGATCAAATCTAGACGATTATATATCGTATTCTGAAATTACTTTTATACTTAAAATAACGTTAAAATCTATATAATATGTACACATATATATATATATATATCAGAAAACTTTGTAAAACATATACATATTAAAATATCGGTAATACAAATATATCAAGACAGTAGCAAAAACACGTGTCACCAAATTATAACTAAAGGTATATAGAGATATACAATGATACACAAATAAGAGTAGTCGATCATCCTGATGCAAAGTCTGCTAGTTTACGGTCTGCTACTATCTGAAAATGTTAAAATTTACAGAATGAGCTAAATAGTCCAGTGTGCTCTTTACGGTGTATAAAAACATACTGATAAAATACTTCGATAAAAAAATAGTTCATCAAACATGTTTTAAAAATATGAACAATACTCCCATCCGAATATCAGAATGTGTATGTTTCTCATAACCATACACCTACATGTACACCCATAAGGGCTTTATACATATAGCATAAGAACTTGCGTTAAGGACTTACCCTGTGCACAAAGCAGAGGAGCATGCGGTAAGATCTTACAAGTCATAGATTAGGCCTGATATACTTCCTCCAATAATACCCCCAATAACAGTAATAAACATGTATTTATTCGAGTGAAAACGGTAGTTTAATCCATTAAAACATGAAAGTATTTCATACTCAGAAATCATATACAGAAATACAGTAACAAGAGATCATATCAGAAATATATAGTAAATCAAATATCAGATAAATAGTATTAAAAAAAATCAGATATCGTGTCGTAAAAATATTCAGTATCATAAAAAATCTAAAACAGTTTAGATAAATAGTATAAAATAGTAATGTAACACCATCAGAAACACATACATAAATATAACTTATATTTAAACAATTTACAGAAACATACGAGTAACTCTCGAAGAATGTGGATCGAGCAGATCTGACGAACGGGAAGCACCGGATCTAATCGACCCTCGATCGGGGGAAACACGAGTACGTTCATAAAAATATATACTCGAATTAATTCCATAATCAAACCTCAAATAAATAAGCAAAAATACTAGAAATACTAAGTATTTTCGGATTAACGGGCTAGATTCAGGGCTTTGGGTCAAATTTTAGCAAAACGGATCGCAAAATCAGACTTCAGATATCAAAAAGTTAATACGGAGGTTTTCAGAAAAAGTCAACGACATTCAGATATTAAAACTTACCAAGCTTGTTTAAAGCGGTGAACAACAGAGAGCTCAATTTCACAACGTCGGAAACTTGATCTTCCTCACCCCTTACACGTCGGTGGTGGCAACAGAGACAAGATTGACACCAATGGACTCAGGACGATACAAAGAACACAAAAAATGTTATAGTTACACTATAAGTCCTACCATTTTAATTGCTTTATTAATTTAGATCCAAATTTAATTAAAATTTTACTATGGTCCCTAAATTTAATTAAAATTTTCAATTTAGTCAATTAGAAAATTTTTAAGAAAATGTTGGGCCATAATTTGGGGTGTGACAAAGAGTAAAAAAATAAATATAGTAAAACAAAATATATATAAATTATTAAAATTTTAAAAAAATATATTGTTATTTTTATAAAATAAAAATTTGAACGTATTAATAATATATTTAGATTCATTATTTATAAATATATATGAACTTGAATAAATTTCAAATTTATATTTCAAGTTTATTAAAATTTAAATATATATATAAATTATGGGATCACTCTATTTTGTCCGGTTTTATATGTGTTAATGTGGAATATACGAATCATCAAGTGATCT